GAGATTCTTTGATGTTTATATTCATGTCTTTCATCAAACTTGGGAAGTTTCTGGCTATTATTTCTTTAAATAATTTCAGTTCCTCTTTCTGTCTTCTTCTGGGACTCCCACAATACCTGTTAGTCCCTTTAAATCCCTTGGAAGTTGCTTCAGCTGAAGTCTGTGGTGTTTGTAACAATGTCAATGAGCGTTGCAGCAGTGGTTGCCTGCCTCTGTGTCTGCCCCTCTGTGATGAGAAGCAGCAATCAGCTGTCAGTACAGAGATCCCTAGTACTTGGAAGACAAGATTCTTATTGCCTACCCTGGCTCCTACAAGCTATCTACAGGCTGCTCCAGGAATGTTGGACAGCTACCTGCTCTTGGTGGAGGGGGTGCTAAGAGCTGAAATTGACTGGAATTAACCAAAATTTACCATCCAAGCCTTCCCCTGAATGTTTCAAGCCTTTAATAGACTCCAGAGTTCCAAAATAGTTACATCTGGCAGATTCTGACAGTGCAATTTTTGTCCATGTGAGGAGATAGATTCCTGGTGCTTCTTCCTCCTCCAGCATCTTCTATACATATTGTATTATACAATTGCTTTTTTTTTTTTTTTGCGTTACGCGGGCCTCTCACTGTTGTGGCCTCTCCCGTTGCGGAGCACAGGCTCCGGACGCGCAGGCTCAGCGGCCACGGCCCACGGGCCCAGCCATTGCGCGGCACGTGGGATCCTCCCGGACCGGGGCACGAACCCGCGTCCCCTGCATTGGTAGGCGGACTCTCAACCACTGTGCCACCAGGGAAGCCCTATACAATTGCTTTTTAAATCAGTTCAGAGAAGAAAAGGAGAAGCAATTTGTATTTATATTGTTTTTATTTACATAATTACCTTCATCAGTGCTTTTCCTGTTTTCATGTAAATTGGAATTATTGCCTGGGGTCTCTTGCTTTCAGCCTGATGAGATTCCTTTGGTAGTTCTTGCAAGGCAAGTCTGCTAGTCACAAATTCTGTTTTTGTTTATCTGGGAATATCTTTATTTTGCCTTCTTTTTTTTTTTTTTTTGCGGTATGAGGGCCTCTCACTGCTGTGGCCTCTCCGGTTGCGGAGCACAGGCGTTGGACTCGCAGGCTCAGCGGCCATGGCTCACGGGCCCAGCCGCTCCACAGAATGTGGGATCTTCCCGGACCAGGGCACAAACCTGTGTCCCCTGCACCGGCAGGTGGACTCTCAACCACTGCGCCACCAGGGAAGCCCCTTGCCTTCATTTTTGAAAGATAGCCTTACTGGATATGCGATTCTTAGTTGACAGTTTTTTCTTTGAGTTCTTTGAATATGTTATCCCACTGCCTTCTGGCCTTCATTGTTTATGATAAGTCAGCTGTTAATGTTATTGGGGTTCTCTTGTAAGTACTGAGTCATTTTTCTCTTGCTGCTTTCAAGATTTTCTTCTTGCCTTTGGCTTTCAGCACTTTTACTTTGTTGTTGTAATATTGCTTTTTGTTATTTTTTTAAATTTATTTTTTCTTATTGAGATAACATTGGTTTATAACATTATATAAGTTGCATGTGTACAACCTTACATTTTGACTTCTGTATACATTACAGCATCAGGACTTTTACTTTAATGTGTCCATGTGTGGATCTCTTTTAGATGATCCTGCTTAGAGTTCATTGAGATTCCTGGATGTGTAGATTGTTTTTTTAAAAATTTGGGAAATTTTCAGCCAATATTCTTCAAATATTTTTTCTGCTCCTTTTCTCTCTCCTCTTCTTCTGGTACTCCCATTATACATGTGCTGTTGTGCTTAATGGTGTCTTACATTTCTCTGAAACTGTTCATTTTTCTTCATTTTCTTTTCTCTCTGTTCTTTGGATTGCATAATCTCTGTCGATCTATCTCCAAGCTCACTTATTCTCTCTGCCAGTTCAAATATACTGTTTAGCCTCCCAGGTGAATTTTTTCATTTGTTATTGCACTTTTCAACTCCAGAATTTCAATTTGGTTTTTTAAATGCCTTCTTTCTCTTGTCAGTATTCTCTGTTTGATGTGTCATTGTCATCATACCTTTCTTTACTTCTGTAATCATGATTTCCTTTAGTTCTGTGAACATGCTCATAATCCCTACTTTGATGTTTTTGTATGTTAAATCCAACATCTGGTTGCTCTCACAGGCAGTTTATCTTGCCTGCTTTTATTCTAGTGTATGTGTCATACTATTCTGTTTCTTTGCATGTCTCATAACTTTTTGTTGGAAACTAGACATTTTAGATAATAAATGGTTACAAGTCTGCGTATTGGCCTCCAGTGGTGGGGGGTTGTTATTGTTATTTGCTTGTTTATTTGTTTAGTGATTGGCTGGATTATATTAGTAAAGTCTATGAACCCCTTACCCTAGTCCCACAATGTAAAGCCTCTGATGTTGCCCCTTAGGGTACAGCCTTGGGTATGTTCACAGCTACCTTGGAATGACAGTGGGTTTGGCAGAGCGCTCTTTATTTATTTAGTTATTTATTTTGGCTGCACTGGGTCTTAGTTGCAGCATGCGGGATCTTTTAGTTGCAGCATGTGGACTTCTTAGTTGCGGCATGCGAATTCTTATTTGCGGCACGCATGCGGGATCTAGTTCCCGACCCCGGGGATCAAACCCAGACCCCCTGCCTTGGGAGCATGGAGTCTTACCCACCGGACCATCAAGGAAGTCCCTGGCAGAGCTCTCTTGATGCTCCCTTTCCCAGACTTCACCCAGATGTTTTTTGGTTGCCAGCTGATCGCTTTTATTGTTCTCAGTAATGCCCTGGGGCTACATTGCTCCAAAGGCAGATCCAATCAAAGCTGAGCTCCTTTGAAGAGGTAGTTCCCAAACTTAGTGTTTGAGATTTTTTTCTGAACCCAGGGCCCCTCCAGCTTCTTGGTTCTTTTAAAGTAGCTGGCGTACAGTTTAGCCTATATACAATGTACCTAGTACTAATCTCCTCCCAGTTGCCTTTCACCACTACCTCCAGTTTTTGAGAGCACCCTTAGGCTTGAATTCTCCACACTCTGTTCCAAATGAAGTCAGTTCATTAAAGACTTGGTGCTTATTTTATGTCTTGCTTCTACCCTCAGGCAAAATCTGGGAGCACAGCTCCGGAGCTGAGAGTGGGAACAGTAGCTTGCTTGTCTCTCTGAGTGATACCCCCACTTTGGAAGCTCAGAGGGGGTGAGAGGCAGTAGCATCTGGTCTTCTTGGCATGCTTCACCCAGCATGGAAACTTCACTTTATGGTCTGGGGCAAAGGTGATTGGGGTCCCCGTATTTTCAGTGGCCCTGTACCCAAGATAGAGCCTCTATCCTACATGTCTGAGCTGGACATAAAAAGGAAGCTCCCACCTCTTGGCTGCACTCTCCCAAAGCTTACTGTCATCATCAGGTATTGGGGGCAGGATGAAATATGCTGATGTCCTGCCCCTCCCAGGAAGATTGCCTTCCAACTAGGAGTTAGGGGGAAAGAAGTTTCTTGACTTCACCAGTGTAGTGAAGTTTTTGTCTCACCGAGCTGGAGTGGGGAAGGAGACATTTCATTTTAATTCAGTTCACTGACCCTCATTGTTCTTAGTAGCTTTACTGTTTTTAACTGAGTTTTAGTAGATTTTCTTGAAAAAAAAAAAGGGTCCCTATTTGCTGTATGCCCTAATGACCATTTCCAGAGACTTTAAATGGTTGGTTTTTTAAATATTTTCACCAGTTTCACTGAAGAGGGGTCTGCAGAGCTTCTCACGCTGTCATGCTGGATGTGGAACCAATTAGGATTACATTTTATTTTTATTTTATTATTATTTTAAAATTTATTTATTTTATTTATTTATTTTTGGCTGCATGGGGTCTTCATCGCTGTGTGCGGACTTTCTCTAGTTGCAGTGAGCAGGGGCTATTCTTCGTTGTGGTGCGTGGGCTTCTCATTGTGGTGGCTTCTCTTGTTGTGGAGCACGGGCTCTAGGTGCGCAGTCTTCAGTAGTTGTGGCTCACAGGCTCTAGAGTACAGGTTCAGTAGTTGTGGCACATGGGCTTAGTTGCTCCACGGCATGTGGGATCTTCCCGGACCAGGGATCGAACCTGTGTCCCCTGTATTGGCAAGCGGATTCTTAACCACTGTGCCACCAGGGAAGCCCCAGGATTACATTTTAGGTTTAGTTGTTATGTCTCCTTTAATCTGGAACAGTTACTGAGTCTGTTTTTCATGACCTTGACGTTTTTGAAGAGTATAGGCCATGTGTTTTATAAAACGTCCCTCAGATTGGGTGTGTTTGATGTTTCCTCATGAATAGATCCAGATTATGCATTTTTGGTAGGAATACCACAAAGGTGATGTTGTGTCCTTCTCAGTTCATTGTATCAGGAAGTGCATGACATCTGTTTAACATATTATTAAATGTTATTTCAATTTCAGGCATTTCTTTCAACAGACATACTTTGAGTATCAAATAGTCCGTTTTTTTTTTATTACTAGTCAGTTTGAATTTTATGTTAATTGGTTGTATTATTTTTTAAATGCCTTTACTGAGTTATCTATGGGATTGATTTTGTTTTATCAATTCTAATATTCTGTTTTTTTCCCCTTTAATTAATTTATTTTCTCCATTTCATGTGTGTGATATGAAATGGAATGTCTAGGTTTCTAATAAGGATAACAGGTGTTTGGTGGCTTTTTTTTTAATTACTTTTTATTAGAGTATAGTTACTTTACAATCTAATATTCTAATATTGCTGTGTTTTATTGATTTTAAGAGCTCTTTATACATTAATGGTATTAATTCTTTGGCATGTAGCAAATATTTTCCTTAGTTTATTGTTTGCTCTTTAATTTCTTATGACTATTTTTTGGTATGTTGACATTTAAAATTTTTATGTAAACAGAACTATTAGTATTGTCCCATAAGGTTTCTGCTCTTGGTATCATGCTTAGAATAGCCCTTTTAAGGTTACAGAAATATTTTTTTCTACTATATACTGATTTTTTTTTTTTTTATGTTTCCCAAATAGGTACGTTTGCGGGAGCACATGGGTGAAAAGTATGTGACTTACAATGTGAAAGCTCACCAGTTAAAATTTTTTGAAGATAATGTAAAATTTTGAGAATTTACCTAATCTGCTGCCAGAATGAAACTATTTTCAAACGTTTTTGGCTTAAACAAAAACAAACAAACCTATAATAATGACTGGAGTCCATTCACCATCCTTATATTTTGTTGGGCCTTTTTTTACTAGAAAAAAATTGGACAGAGTAATATGAAGCAAGCTTATTACAAAAGAAAAAAACCTTTGGCTATCTTATTCTCTTTATGAGGGAAAATCTGTTGTACGACGTTTATTTGGTTACTGTTTACTGAGTCTTAAACCAACTTGATATCTAGAACTATTTTTTTTAAGGTACTTATTAGCTTGAATACAGGGATATAACATACTGGATTGGAAGTTTTATATTATACTAGAGTGACGAAAGCAATAGGAGAAATAAATGACATATATCCAGTGACACTACTTTTTACTGTTAATAACCTTAAGTAGAAGTTGATAAATTATTTTTTTTATTATTCTGGGAGTAGATTTAAAGATATGGCATTATATATAGTACTTGAGCATTGAATTCCTTTTTTTGCATATTGATGGATGTTTTAACATTTTATTTCCATTTAATATGGACCTCATTCAGGGTATACAAGAAATGAAACTAGGAGTTATTTTGGGCTAGTAAATCAATGTTTTTACATACTGGATTTTTTTTTTTAAGATTTATTTTTCCATCAGCGAAAACATTCCTTAAACGCTAATTCCTTTTCTAATTCAGCAGGTGTTAAGTAAAGTCCAGATCCTTTTAGTTATGTTGGACATATTTGTCTCCTGAAATTTGTCTTCTTATACATCAAGATATTGTCTTCCCATGTTTTAAATGTAGAATTGTATATCACATATTTTATTAGTTGTTTAATAAGGGGCAATACCCATCTAGCAAATAGTTTTTAAAAAATAAGTTTTGATTAGTAAATTTTAACTTCTGCTTTTGAGGGACTCTAAACATGAATATGACTCCAGAAATATTTTCATTTTTTACAGTTAAAAATATGTCTTACCTTTTATGAAAATTATACACACACATAAAGTAATAAAATGTTCTCTTTCTAGTCCACATAAAAGACTTTTATTTAGTTTTTAGTATGTGCCAGGTGCTAGGCCTGGGTTCATGGCCTAATTTCTGAAATTTCTTTATTTTGAAGGGTTTTTAACAACTTAACTCTAAAAACATCTAGTCCTAGTGCTCAGCTGAGGACAAATTTTTGGCAAACCATCGGTCTTCCTGAGCTATTTACCATTTCTTGCATGTTTTATAAATCCACATCTTTCTGCAAAGTCATCAGTTCTACTAAAGTTTTCTAACTTACTGGTATAAAGTTATACATATTATTTTCTTAGAATAAAAAAAAAATCTCCATACCTTTTTTATTAACATTCTGTATATATATATATATATATATATATATTTTTTTTTTTTTTTTTTTGCGGTACGCGGGCTTCTCACTGTTGTGGCCTCTCCCGTTGTGGAGCACAGGCTCTGGACGTGCAGGCTCAGCGGCCGTGTCTCACGGGCCCAGCCACTCCGCGGCATGTGGGATCTTCCCAGACCGGGGCACGAACCCGTGTCCCCTGCATCGGCAGGCGGACTCTCAACAACTGCGCCACCAGGGAAGCCCATTGGGGTGTCATTTTGAGAACATGAGATGACATGATTTTTAACCCTATTGGGAGCTCTTAACTTTATAATCACATTTATTATACTTATTGATATGCTTGTTCATGTTTCTGCCATCTTTTATTTTTCTTCCCCTGTTTTAGAATCCTTTCCTGACTTTTGCTATATTAAGGTCTTTGCTCCCTTTTTTTTAAACTCATAGTTTGGAAGTCCTATATCCTGGTATTGAGAAACAGAATATTACCTGTAATAACCCTTCCACTCCCATCCCTCCCACAAGGCCTTTAGAACATTTTTCTCTTCGGCCCTCTGGAAAATTTTAAAGGAATTTACAGTTTTATGGTTTCCACTTTGAACCACCTTAGGTAAAGCCTGGATTAAATGTTTTCTGCTTGGCAATAGCCTTATTTTAGTGGTACCAAGATACTACTTTACCACAAATTTACATTTGTGGTAAATTTCACAGCTGTAAGATATCACATGTGAATCATGCATTGAATAAGATGTTAAATGTATAAAGCAAAAGTTTTTTTATAGGTGCTTTTGCTGTTGTTAAAGAAAAAAAAAAAGTATGTTAGGAACTTGTAGCTTCAGAAAAGAGAAATGGTTCTTACACTTTCAGAACCACAAACTTCTAACTTTGGCTTTTACTAGTAGTCATGCTGCAGAACAATAAACAAAAGACTCTTTAGACATTGAGTTGCACTGTGAGTTTTATTTGAAAACATTAAAACAGCCTGATGACTCATAATGAATTATAAAACTTTGATAGTTAAACTGTACTATCATTTATGAGGCTTTTATTCTTCATTATTTTGTAGACCTGAAAGAAACTTTGCATACTTGTGTTTTCTGTTCTCCATTTCAGAGGAAGATTGTGAAGAGAAGGTCTAAAATATTTATAAATCAAAACCCAACATAAAAGTGAAATATAGAGAGAACAAAATCTGTACACAGCTGAGCATAGGTGTTTTTAGCTCATGTTTTGGATATGAAAACAATTTAGCTCATGTCACACGAAACAAAAGCAGGTGCAGTAGTAAAGCTCAATCATGAAAACCCCAATCAATTATTTTTAGCATGCCTCTTAATTTTTCTTTCCCCTGGTTTCTTGTCTTCTGTGCCTGAGTCTTGAACAGGTAACCACTTGAGGGGGTGCCGGCGATAAATGGGCCATGGAGGAAGTGTCAGCTGGGTCAGAACAGAGAAAATGCATCATTTATGGCCATTAAAAGTTTAAAAGAGCATTATGGATAATGCCTGGTTCCCAAATGACTCCTATGCTAAAGGTAAAAAAAATGAAACTGACATTCCTATGAAAACTATGTGCCACCACCCAGACAAGATACTGTAAGTGAGAACAAGCCTCATTGTTTACACATGGCTTTAAGAGCTAAAAGAAAGGTGAGGAGGGAGCAGTATGAAGACCGTAAGGTCTTAAGGTCTAGTGTGACTTTAAGATTACTGCTTGGATCGCCTGCCAGAAGAAATGAGCTTTATGTAACTTAACCTTATCTGATGCTATTTGGCATTTACTTTTCCAGTGATAGCATGGGAAGGACGAGGTAAACGATGGTGCCGGTTCTCACTACTAGGGCCAACCAAAACAACCCAATTCAGAAAACCTAAGTTGCCACCAACATCCAAGCACCCATAAATTTCTTACCAAACACGAAAAAGCAAATCCCGCCATAACTATATAGACAGTCCACCCGAACTGTTCAGCCACGTACCCGTAGATAAATCCAACTATCTAGAGACAAAGCAAGTATATTAAATACAGTCAAGCTGGGGTGGGGGTGGGGAGAGACGACTATGCAAAACCAATACTTACTGCAGAAAAAAGAATAATTCCCTGAAACATCTGTTCAGCTAGCTTCTGGCCCTTGTAATCCTAGAGGTGAAGGAGAGCAAAGCAGAAATTGGTTCCACCACTGGAGAGGTACATTCCTGCCCTGGCCTCACAGCTTTGGCACAGGGCGATCCCAATATATGGGACTTCCCCAAGAACTTAAGCAAGGAATGACATTCTGGGTTTCCCGGGGGAATTAAAGCAAACTCACGGAACCCGGGCTGGGGTATCCTCGCGGGGGAAGAGAGAAGGGGACCCAGGAGATTCATTTCGGGGAAGAAAGTAGCCATCCGGGGTAGGAACCGCGCTGCACCGGGTGGGTCTCGGACAAGGGTTGCGGAGCTGCCAGGCTCGCGAGCGGCGTGTAGGAATCTTGGGGCCGAGGCGGGCAGCGCCCTCACCATTTGCGTGGGCAGGGAACTCAGATACTCCAACATGACTGGCTCAGGAGGCGGGCGGCGGAGCGAAGGCGGCCGGGACTCAGGGACAGTAGGGGCCGGAGTCAGCTCCTGCGTACAGCTCTACTGTCCTGTCGAGCCGAGGGTCGCGATGGCCGCGGCCCCGGAAGCGGATGTCTCCCACAAACCCGGTCGGCCCGAGGCCCCTCCCCGTGCCCTCGCTAGGCGACCCGCGCTTTCGGAGCTGGCTGTAGGCCGGCGGCCTCTCTGCAAGGGCCGAGATGCTGACGGTGGCGGCCGAGCCGAGGCATCACGCGCCCGTGAAGGGTTCGCCGTCAGTGCTGTTAGGTGCCGAGGGCCGCGGTCCAGGTCCGCCAAACTGTACTTGGCTGTGCCTTCGCGGCTTAACGGCGGCCTGCGCGCGCCCCGTCTCCATGGCGACGGACATTTCTCGGCGAGGACCCCAGCGGTGGGGCTGCCCGGCGGCGCCTGCTCTGCGAGACGGTCTTGCGGACCGAGCGGCTAACGGCGGGGGGCTGCGGGACTGCGCGGCGGCCGCGGAGCTAGCGGGCAGGCGGGCTCGGTCCGGAGTGCAGGGGACGCGGGCGGCCCGGCAGCGGGCTGGGCCCCGGGGCCTGCGGTGGGGACGCTGAGCTGGCGGGGCGGGCCGGGGCGTGGGCAGCGGCCCCTCCTCCTCGGGCTGCAGGTAAGGGAGGCCGTGGGGAGCGTCCGAGGGAAACGGCTGGCCTCGGGGCCGCGGGGTGGGGAGAACCCCTGGAGCGTCACCCATTGCGAAACACTCCTAAACGTTATTGACCCCCAGAATTTAGAGGGGAGTACCCCAGAACCCATCATCCAGAGAAAGGGAATGCCCTCGGAGAAGGACGGGTCCTGGCCCGTCTCTTCGCACGAGTTGGAGAGAGTTCCCACCCGGGGAGTCTCCAGTTTGTCCCTCCAGGCTGCTTGGCGGCTTCACTGGCGTCCTCACAGACTCAGGCCTCCCGAAAGAGGCCAGCAAAGGTTTCGCACTGCCTCTCAAGGCCGGCGTCTATCTCAGAAGCTTAGGCCCTGCCCCGTTACTCTGAGCAAGGTGGAAGACCCACGTTCCGGAGAGAAACTTCTGGGAAACCTGGGCCTGTGGGTCCCAACTGGCTGTCTGGCCTCTGTGCTGTGTTGCGCCTCAGGGTCACAGGCGGTGGGATTCTAGGCACTCCAGGGCAGGCGGTGTGCGGCTGCCGACCTCATGCAGTCAACAAACATTCCCGGCAGCTTTTTTTGTGCCATGAATTGGGCCAAGGACATGGCCGTGACCAACACCAGGTCCTTGCCTTCCTAGAGCCCAGAGTGTGTCAAGGGAGACAGCCACGTAACCCCACAAATATAAGCCGGATTTACTCTGGGGGAGCGAAGCCTGGGAGATGTGAGAGCTCAGGGGAGATGCAGCTGAATGTGAGGTTTGGGGGAGGCTCCCCTGACTCCTGAAAGCCAAGTAGGAGCTAGGCAGAGAAGAGGTGGAGAAAGTGGATGTATATTCTTAGTGCCTTTTCCACCTTTCAGTCTGGCAGAGACTAAACGGACTTTCCCTCGTATGCAGAAATAGATGAATCCCTCTGTGTTATCCCTCCTTAAATGCATTTCACAGGGTGGCAGTTGCTGCAGAGCCTTTATGGTATTTGAGCTATAAAGATAATCATGGGAAAAGGAGATTGCGTGTCAGGTTCAATTTCAGATCTCCATTGGAATCCATGTCTTGCCTTGTGTTTGAATTTGTTTTCATGATTATTATCAAAGATCGTGTTCCCTTTCAGAGCTGAGAACCAGCCTTGCTCCTGGATTAACAAGACCATTCAACAAATATCACATACCTATTACCATTTACCAGACATGGTTTTAGATGGCAAGGATACACGAATAAACACTTTTCACTGGGATCACTGTTTTCATAGAGCAGGGAAGACACAAAGAAACAAATCAAATAAATGAGATAATTTCATAATTGAAGAGAGGGAGCGGTGAACTTTCTTGATGGCCTCTGAGGGGATGGGTAAGAGGACAGAAAGATGACCTTGGTCTTTTGTGACCTCGACAAAGCCACTTTGAATGGAGAAGTAGGGCCAGAAGTCTGGTTGTAGTAGGATAGAGGACAGAAAAATGACCTTGGTCTTTTGTGACCTCGACAAAGCCACTTTGAATGGAGAAGTAGGGCCAGAAGTCTGGTTGAAGTAGGATAGAGGACAAGAGAGAAAGTGGAGCTGGGAACTTTAAATCCTTTCAAGCTTTTAGAGTGAGAGTGAACAGAGAAACGGGTCTGTGGGTCTGCTGGGATATGGGAAGTGGTGTCTTTTTTATTTTTATTTTTTAATTAACTGGAAGATACCAGAGCATGATAATTAATGCTGCTAAGTGTGTGATCCAGCAGAGAGGGAAAGAGTTTGCTGATGCTGCGCCAAGGAAACAATTATAGGATAGGTTGCAGAGCATGAGTGGAATGGCCTTCCTTGGGAATATATAGCAGTAGAAAGAAAAGCAGAAAAGGCCACTGAGATGTGGGTACTATTGCAGGTAGCTAGCAAGTTAAAAACATAAAGTGTTCTTGCCCCGTAAGGTTTCTTCACCCATATTTCTGGGAATGCCTGCTATGTGTGTGTATTGTGAATGATTTGGGAATGTGAAGGTCTTGTAATTTATAGACAAAATGCTACTTTTCATAGTGAACAATTGAATATTACTGATCAAATTGTACACAGTTGTGTACTCTTGCAAAAATACAGCCAATATTGCACATCTGGGATGTACATACAGTTTTGTTTTGAGAATTCTTTCTAACCAGATCAGTGAATTGCATTACCAGGAATTGCACCAGGAAATATGGATCAGACACACTCCATAATAATCGGCATTTTGCATGTAGATAACTGTGGAAGAGTTTTAGGAGTAGGTGGTTTCTGCCATGTGAATCTACTTAAGTACGTCAAATACCTGCTGGGATTGTGTTTTTCTTCTGTCTAGCTAGCTACAATAGCACAAATACTTGTGCCTCTCAATTAACATACCACCTGTAAGTAATTGTTAGTGGACATTGTTGAGCTAAACCATTGGCCCTTATACCATTAACTAAATGAGATTTATTAAAGTGAGATAGTTTTCTCCAGTCTTGGTGGAAGTTGACTCCAAGCAGGCAGATGTTAGAACTCTGTCTGAGCAGCCCCAGTCTGCCACCTTCTATAGGTAAGGCTCAGTCCTCAAGAGGAGATAGAGACACATGGCTCAGGGTATATAACGATTTGTAGTCTTTAGAGAGTAAGCTTGTTGGTATAATATACTTTACATATACTGTTCTAGAAAGAAATGAGAGTGAGCGAGAAAGAATGTGTGTATTTTAGATTGTTCTTTGGGAGTCTGAATTATGTTCTCCCAAATTTGTAATCTGGCCTGTGATCCCAGTTTTTAAACAGCACTTCAATATATTTCTCTTCTTTTCAAAGGCCTTGAGAAATCAAGTGCCTGATAGGCACGCACTTCATTTAAGATGAAATTAATTCAAACTAACTTTGATTTTAGAAATATGCTATATTTGAAAGTGCTTTGTAAAATTAATAGCCTTTATGTAAATGTTAGGTACTCCCATGGGGGAAGATGAAGTAGAAAGGGGTAAAGTTCTCAAATGTAGGATCACAATATCCAGGTTGTATAAAATGTTTTTAATGAAACATTACCCAGAGATTGTTGTAGAAACCTAATTGTTTAATTTAGCTCCACTTACAGTCTTGTTTCCATTGAATTGTTTTGAAAAAGTGAAGGCTTCAGATGAGCTGGGGAGCACAAACCACCGGCAGAGTGACAGTATTAGACACCACTTTCATAAGAGATGGGTAGTTAACCAACAGATAGGAAGCCCCAGAAGAAGCTAATTTTTTCTTTTAGCAGATTTTTAATTTTTGAGACTAGAGCTCTAAACTTTTGATAGCAAGATTGGATTTTGTGAATTTTTGTAATTCTGTTTCCCTGCTATAGGTTTTTTTTTTTATAAGTTTATTTATTTTTGGCTGCGTTCGGTCTTTGTTGCTGCGCGCGGGCTTTCTCTAGTTGCCACGAGTGGGGGTTACTCTTTGTTGCGGTGTGCGGGCTTCTCATTGCGGTGGCTTCTCTTGTCGCGGAGCACGGGCTCTAGGTGTGCAGTCTTCAGTAGTTTTGGCTCGCGGGCTCTAGTGCGCAGGCTCAGTAGTTGCGGCGCACGGGCTTAGTTGCTCAGCGGCATGTGGGATCTTCCTGGACCAGGGCTCGAACCCGTGTCCCCTGCATTGGCAGGCAGATTCTTAATCACTGCGCCACCAGGGAAGTCCCTCTGCTATAGTTTTAAATGAATTTGGGAACTGTTCTTTTTTCTCTTTTCTTTAATTCCAGTTAAAGATGAATGGAATACATCTTGGAGCAGGGATGTTTGTACCAACGAGGCTGACCTTGGTTTACTGGATCATAGACAACTGAAGTCCATGTCTAATTAGGAATTTTAAGTAGAAATTCATTCAGAAAACATTTCCATAGTGGTTAGACTCCAAGTATTCCTCCTGGTAGAACTTCTTTTGCTTTTCATCTAGTGGCATATGGTATACAAGGCTATAAGTTACTGGAAGTATTTTATTATTATGACTACCATAAAAAATTCAGATCCCAAATTGGGTCCTTGGAAACTGTTAATTCAAAACGAGTTTCTTGCAGAAAATACCGTATGCATTTCTTGTTTCTACCTGAATAAAAGTGTGTAGGTGGGACTTCTCTGGTGGCACAGTGGTTAAGAATCCGCCTGCCAATTCAGGGGACCCAGTTCGAGCCCTGGTCCAGGAAGAATCCCCATGCTGCAGAGCAACTAAGCCTGTGCACCGAAACTACCGAGCCTGCGCTCTAAGGCCCACGTGCCTAGAGCCCATGCTCTGCAACAAGACAAGCCACTGCAATGAGAAGCCTGCGCAGCGCAACGAAGAGTAGCCTGGCTCACCACAGCTAGAGAAAGCCCGCACGCAGCCAGAAAAAAAAACAAAAAGCATGTAGGCATTTTGATGGCCATTCTAATGTACCTACTGACTTTGGGGGCTTGTTTTTGTTTTGTAGGGTTAATAACTAATATTTATATAAGACAGAAGAAAAAGATGTCATTCCGTAAAGGTATGTCCT